GAACCCTCCCCCCCCCCCCTCCTCTCTTTTTTATAAGTATCAGAGACCATTCAAAGTAAAGATTTCAATAGGATCTTTCTATACCTTCCTGTATCCGCAGATGAGCAGACTGTCTAACAAAGACAAGTCCTGGGAACAAATTAACTTTTGCTGGGAAAGGCTCTTCATTAGCTGATGCTTGATAAAGTACCAGCCATAACCTCCCTCCCCATGCATGTCATGCACATAAATAGTGACATGTGCTAAGTATGTTAAGAGTCGAAGAAAAAGGAGCCACAAATACCGCCTGACAACCGTGCGGGAAGAACAAAACCATGAACTAGAGCAAAAGATGCCATGTTGTAAGAATGTAAACTAAGCACGTTAAGGGATTTCAGGGAGAAGATAATGAACTAGACCAGAAGATGCCATGTTGTAGAATGTAAAATAAGCACGTTAAGAGAATTTCAAGGAAAAGAGATGGCTAATTGATCTCTGTTTTACAATCATCATAGGCAGGAAGACACTAGACATGGAAAGGAAGCAAGTGTGGAGGCCGATGTGACTTCTTCCTAATAATGGTGATTGGTGACAGAAACAGTTCAGCTTTAAGTGAAGGACCTCTAGGGAGGCACTGCCATGTATGTCCAAGTGTCAAACTCAAGCATCTTTTAATAACATAGAATCTCCAACATTGAAAACATGATTCAGGAGAGTACAGCAAAAAAAAAAGTATATTAACATTGTGCATAAGAATTTGATTCACGAGAAAGTGAATTGTACAAGATTGTGATCATCCTGAAATATAACTTGAGCAAGACAAGGAAGTACAATATTGTGACCAACCTGAATGTCTTGTTTCCTAATTCGAGCACCCATCCGGACGATTTTCAAAAGTGCCTCTGATCTTCGGGACGTGAATTCATCATAAGTCAATCCATCAGGAGGGGAAAGCTGAGCATGAGTGAGAACTACAATTCCTCGGCGCCATATTTCCTTACCAAAACTATCAGTAATAGCCTTCACAATCTGCTTATCCAAGTTATCCACTCTATATGCATCCAGACGATCCACATATAGCAAAACATCAATTGTCTTGTTCAACAGGAACCTGTGTGAAGCCAATTACCAGAAGATCATTTATATATGAAAAAAATAAAGGGAAATAGAAAGACCAGATAGAAAAAACATTAAGGGGTCGTCTGGTTTGTGGGATAAAGGATAATAATCCTGGGATAAAATGCAGAATTACTTCATCCCGCATTTGGTTGAATTTTTATTCTGGGATTAGTTTTTATTTGTATACCACCTTCAAAGCGGGATAACAATCCCGGACAAACACCAGAATGACCAAGATGCCCTTTTCTAAGACTCTCTCTCAAAATCCTTTACAAACTCTTAAGGTTAAAATAGGAAATAAAAAGTAATACCTTATACCATCTTATCTAGAGCAAAACCAAACACGCATTTTATATTATACCCCACATATCCCATTTTTAGTCCAATGAACCAAACATCTACAAAAATAAGTATATACACTAAATAATCTGTCATTCCCGTATTATAATCTCGGGACATTTCACCAACCAACCGACCACTAACAGGATTAACACAAGTATGTATTATCAGAATAGGCCTTACTTCTTTATGAGATCAAGAGCCTGGTCATTGACGTATCCTCCTTCAACTAGCCCTGGGGTGTCAATTATGTTTAGTGTAAACCCTGCTCGTGAACGCGAAACCATCACCGGTCTGGGAGTTTCTGACTGAACAATCAACAATTTTATTTTAGTATCCATAACAAGAACAAAGGCAATAAACCTTTCACTTCCTCAATTTAATGCTGCAGGCAATACATACCTGAAATGCACTAACAGCAACTGCTCTTTCCCCGATAATTGAGTTCACCGTTGATGATTTTCCAACACCACCTTTCCCCATTACTAGAATTGTCAGAGTACTGACATTCTACGACAAGTTAAATAACGAGAGTTGCATTACATCAGACAATACATTATAGCAATAAACTTAACCATTTTACACAAATGCAGCACAAAACAAATGAATATCAACAGCAACGTTCAAAGCACTTTACTACTTTGGGGAAATAACAAATACTAACTACTCCACTCTTTACAGTTCAACGGAACTACAAACAAGAACCACCTTCATCGCTATTTATAAAGCACTTTTCGTATTAAGACGTTCCAAAATGTTTGGCATTGTTATGTAAATAACATTATTCTATGTGACTACCACAACTTTCAAAAATGTAAATTCCCTTACTTCCAATAGCAAATTTCAATGCAACAATTCTTATCAAACTAAACTTTTGTTTTATAACCGTGGTGTCCGAGTTCCGAAACAGAGACCTCATAGTTCCCACTTCATTGACCATTAGGCCACACCCTTGGGTGCACTAAACCTTTTTAACAACTAATTTAATATTTTCTCCACCATTAACACAATATACAAACTAAACCAGCCTGCCATAATAATTTCATAAACACCTTGCGAAGAAACAACAAACAATAAGCAAGCCTTATGTTTGGATTCACTTTGAAAGATCGTACAATATCTTCCTATGACGTCCCAGTCAAAGGAGTATACTATATTGTTCCAAAAGATTATTTTGTGTAAGGTTGGTTAAATGGGGCAATAAGGAGTTAGACAAGTATCTAAAGACTGTATGCCGTATGGACTCTGGATAAGAAGAATGTCAGACCACAGGGTGAGAGAAACTTATAAACAAGCACTAGTGTCTGGTCTCAAAAGAAGAACCTGATCAGCAAAAGAAATCAGTTATCAATGCCTACACTGACGATTCCAATTTGAATGTAGAGCATTTAAGGAACACCATTATATAAATTGAACCAAAAGAGAGCAACAAACAATTCAATTCGAATCAGAATGCGATGTAAGGAGAATTGGTTTAAAGAGAGATGCACACCTCCTGCTTCAGTTTTCCCAGTAATTCAAGCAACTTTGATTGAGTGGCAGCTGGAAACTGCTGTATTCCGGCCCATTCTCTAATTATTTGAGATGCCATGGATAGCTAAGAGGTAAAACAACTCCAGGTTAGAACTAAAACCACAGGGAAATTAGAGTCCAAAAAGATAGAAATATACTACAAAACCTCAGTACTGATCTAACCCTGAACCAATACAGTACAAATTCGCAATGAAGTATTGAAAAACATTAGGGTTTTGCTTCAGTAAACAACCCAATTTCAAAAATACAATATGAATCAGAGAAATTACGACGATAATCGACATAAACCATATATCTTGGTCTCAAAGAAAAGAATTTTCATGGATAGCGTGTACACCAACCAGTAAAGCGTTAAAGTGTGATGAAGAAAGAAGGAGAATAAAGCATAGAGTGGGGAGAAAACTCACCAATTGGGTAGAGAAATGCAGTCAATTAGTAGGATGGAGGAGCTATTAGCTGAGGAGGAAGAGAAAAGGGTTTAAGCTGGGAAAATCCTGGACGGCCTTATCGCCTTCGTATTTTGGTCCCTCTCTCTCTCTCTCTCCTCCCCTATTTTGGTTGTTGGAGGCAACTATGGTTTTTTTATACAACTTCAATTTCAATCTCTATATGTTTATGTACAATTAATTTACTTCTTTAGTATCTATATTTATATATGTTGTAAAACTCTTAAAAAATAAATTTTCATTTTGTCATAATTATTAGTATTTGATTATTTTATTAATATTTAAAATTTTAAAATAAAATAAAAACTCTTTTATTGATTTGAACTATATAAACAACACAAATTGGATTTATTAAGCAAAATATTTAGTAAATTTTACACAAATTTCATAGTGCTAAGAGTTAATTACATCATATCCCTACTCTTCTTCAAATTACAAAAATTCCTTAAATTTGGTGGAATTCGGGACATCACAAAACGTCCCGATATATCGTGTTTCGATTTTGGATACATCACTCAACATCCCAATACATAGCATAAAGTGGTGTATCCAACGGATACATCGCGTAAAGTAACGTCCTGATACATCGCGTAAAGTAATGTCCCGTTACGTCGAGTACGTCCCGATACATCGTAAAATGATGTATCCGACCGATACATCGTGTAAAATAGGGATATTTTTATAATTTTTTCAAATAGAAGGGAATTTTAAAGAATATAGTAGAATAAGTTGTGTATTTATGTAATTTTTACAAATATGTAATATATTTATCCTAATTGGACCCAGAACTCAAACTATTTACCTGATTGTCCCTTCTTGTTCTATTCACTGACCGCCGATACCATCGGAGTATATATACACTAATGGTATCTATATTACTTTAATAGTATCAAACAATCTTTTTTACTTAAACAATGTTTCTTCTTCTTTGATGTTAGAATATATATATATTAATGGTATCAAAGATTAATTGAATAGCGTTTTCACCAAAACACATCTTTAATATCATCAGAGTATATATATACTTTGATAACCGCGTATAAATAATTTCCCTTTTTTTAGTAGAAGTGTTATTTGGATTAAGATTTAGCTTGTGTAATTTATTTTTTCATAATATTTGACATAACTGTGAAATAATAATTCCAGACATCCAATACATTTATTGTACATAGTTTCCCAACTCTTAATTCATTTTCTTGCTGAAGAAGCATACAATTAGATTTAAATTAATCGGAATCCCAATTCTAACATAAATAAAAATATAGATTACACCGTAACAGTTGTATAACTATAAAAAAGTTAATAAGATCTTTAAGCAAAATATTCATACAATTAGATTTAAATTAATCGAAATCCCAATTCTAACATAAATAAAAATATAGATTATATCGTAACATTTGTATAGCTAATTTTTTTGTCACGATCAGAGTCTACACCCTAGACGTGGCCGGCACTCAAGAACCATTGCTGGTCCCCAAGCGAACCCTCATCCTGACTGACTACAAGCGGAAGCCTAACTTAAGCATGCAAAAGCTTAAAACTGAATAAAATTTAATAAACTCAACTTTTCGAAACTTTAACTCAAATGAACAACTTAGAATAAAATAATATATTCTACTCGCCATAAAATAGGCAACTTAAGTCTTTAAAACATTTAATAAAATAAATGAATAATACAGACTTCTCAACAATACTGACTATCTATGAAGCCTCTAACTGATAAAGATGGAAGTCGGGACAAAACCCACGACATCCTGACTGAACTGAAAAGTGAATGAAATCCTCCGGAAACAAGGAGGCTCACCATAGCTAACTCGAACTCCACGTGGTATCAACGAAACTCATGTTGATGACCCTTAATACATGTGTCTGCATCATGAAAAGATGCAGGCCAAATGACTCAGTACGTGGAATGTACGAGCATGTAAGAGAAATTCTAAAGCATAA